ACTTTCAAAAACATCAATAAATCATACAGACCCCAAACTAATAATTCTCAATGACCAACCCAGAATTCAGTTTATTTTGTCAGTAGAGATCTGTAACACAGTCAGAGTGAAATCACATGCATGTTATGCATGATCAGGTCATGCTCTACCGAGCTTCAGGAATGAGTTAAATCTAACACGTTTGTTACGATCAAATCTTAGTGCCCTGCAGTCCTCGTCAGGCCAGCTGGATGAAGATGAGATCACATGGGGGAGCGATGAGCTGCCAATAGAGGACATCAACCTTAAATTCACTGAAGGTCAGTCAGCTGAACCTGTTTTGCTGTTGAAACCACCGTTTCTCACAATTGTTCTCATTGTAATGGTAATGCATGTTATTTTTCATCTCTCTCTTTCTCAGATGGACCCATTGTTACTGAGGATGAGCTGACGTCCCTGCCACTGGTTAAAGTGGTTCCTGACGGTCATTACACATCCACTAACCTCAGCACTATAGTCCGTATGATGAAAGGTCTGCTGGAGCAGAAAGTTCCTCTGCAAGAGTTTGAGGTGCAGAAATATATTTTATTGTACTATATACTTAAAAATAACGTCTGAACTTTTTTGCGGTATTGAAGCAATTTCAGTAAACTATGATTCTTTTTGTTAAAATCAGTTTACTACATTAGTACACATGAACTAAAAATGAAAAAGGTTAATCATAATCTCAATATTTACTATTATATTTAAAATACAAAGTTGTATCTGTTAGCATGTGCTATGAGAAAATCACCTTGAATGAACAGTTGTATTTTACTAATATTAATTATTAATTATTTAAAATGTAATTATTATTAAAGAGTGTTACCACTCTTTCTTCTATTAGAAACATTTTTAAAACATCTTTAAATTACTTGACTTTTAAAGCCTACTTGGTTTTATTTATGCATTTGAACATTTTTATGTGCATAAAGAAGTCTTGTACATGTTTTTTTTTTTTAAGTAATGTTTATTCCGCATGAATTCATTAAATGTATCAAAAGTGACAGTAAGTATATTTATAATGCCTTCTGAAAACTCTGCATTGCATCACAGGAATAAATTACATTTTAAAATATATTCAAATAGGAAGCAATTATTTTAAATTGAAAAAAAAAATCACAATATTGTTGTTTTTTACTGTAGTTTTGATCAAATAAATGCAGCCTTGGTGAGCATTTTAAAATAAATTCAAATAGAAAGCAATGGTTTTAAATTGAAAAAAAAAATCACAATATTGTTGTTTTTACTGTAGTTTTGATCAAATAAATGCAGCCTTGGTGAGCATAAGACTTCTTACAAAAACATTAAAAAAAAATCTTACCAATCCCAAACTTTTAAATCGCAGTGTATATTTTTAATATACAAAATATCTGATGCTAATTTGGTGATAAAATAATAAATTTTTATGTGCATATTTTTTCTTTCAAAGAACCTGCAGAATTTGCGCCCCTTGGATGAATGTCTGATTGGTCAGACCAAAGAGAACAAGAAGAAAAACCGTTACAAGAACATCGTTCCATGTGAGTTAGGAGAAACATTGATGTATAAACAATGTTTCAGCATGAACTTTTTTTGCATATTAATAATCATCTCTTGGTCTCTGTCATGATTCAGTTGACACGACCAGGGTCGTGTTGGGAAAGGATGGTGGCTACATTAATGCTAACTTCATCAAGATGCCTGTAAAAGACGAGAAGTTCCTGTACATTGCGTGCCAGGGGCCGCTGCCCACCACGCTCGGGGACTTCTGGCAGATGGTCTGGGAGCAGAAGTCCAACGTGATCGCCATGATGACACAGGAAGTGGAAGGAGGGAAAGTGAAATGTCAAAGGTATTGGCCCGATACGCCCCGCTCACCAGAGATGGTTGACGACCGGCTGCAGATCACACTGGTCAAAGATCAGCACCTGGACAACTTCGTCATCCGGCTCATAGAGGTCAAAGACATCCAGGTAACAGACACACACACATATATATATGAACACTTCATACACACATACACACACACTTCATATATATATATATGAAGAGTTCAGATTCAAAAGCCTCTAAATGCCATTTGAAATTTTCTTCTTTAATGATGATTTTTATCAAACTTGTATATTTAAGTTCAGTAATTTCACTTAAATAACAATTAATAGGTCATCTTCATTGCCATTTAAGTGAAATCACTGAACTTAAATATACAAGTTTGATAAAAATCATCATTAAAGAAGAAAATTTAAAATGGCATTTAGAGGCTTTTGCATCTGAACTCTTCATATATATATATATATATATATATATATATATATATATATATATATATAATTGCATTTATTTGATCCAAAATACAGTTAAAATTTATATTGATATTGTAAAATATTAGAATTTATTTCTAGTTTTCTATTTATATATATTTTTTAATTTATTTTTAATTCTGTGATACAAAGCTGAATTTTCAGCATCATTACTCCAGTCTTCAGAAATCATTCTAATATGCTGATTTGCTGTTCAAGAAACATTTATTATTATTATCAATGTTGAAAACAGTTGTGTAAAAAAAACAAAAAAAAAAACAGTTTACACACACACACACACACACACGCGTATATATATATATATATATATATATATACATGCATATACATACCGGTACATACTTACACACATATACATATTGTTAATTGATTTGATAACACTAAAAATAATATTGTTATTATTATATTATTTTCTTGTATTATTATTATATTGTTATTTTATTTTTCAGTGACATTACAATAGTCATTTTTCTTATTTTAGTTTTTTTTGTTATTTACTCATTTTATTTAATACTAATAGCAATACTATTACTACTACTGCTAATTATTATTATTCTCGCTCTCTTTCTAACAAGCACAGCATATCTGGAATTTCAAATCGCAATAGCTATTTTTATCAGAAAGATAGCATTATGATTTTACCCTCCAAAATTGTACAGCTCTAATATCTTTATAAATATACTTATAGATATTGTGATTGAAATGCATAAATCTGCATATGCGTTCATCATTCTCTTTTAGACTAGTGAGATCCAGAGAGTCACTCATCTGAACTACACAGGCTGGCCTGATCATGGAACCCCAACTCAACCAGAACAGCTCCTGACATTCATTTCCTACATGAGACACATCCACCAATCAGGCCCCATCATCACTCACTGCAGTGCAGGGATTGGCCGATCAGGAACGCTCATTTGCATCGATGTGGTTCTTGGTCTGATCAGCAAAGATGCAGATGTAAGCATCACCTTTAAAATATAGAAGTCTGTCATTATTCTTTGAGCAATTGACTTGAATGTATGGTTGTGTCTAGTAACAATTTATAATACATTTTATAACATAAATTGTATAGATGGTTTAATGGCAAAATTAGCGAAATGGCTCAAATCGATCACCTTAAGAACATTGTATACAATATATTAAATTATACAACCGTACATTATTAGCTTTGTGATTAATACAAGTGATATTAAGTTACATGTAATATGCTCTCCACATTTCCTCTCTTTAGTTTGACATATCAGATGTGGTACGTACCATGAGACTCCAGAGGCAAGGCATGGTTCAAACAGAGGTAAGAATTTCATAACTAACTGTGAATTTAATTGAAGTTCACTTCTGCTGTCTGTTTTCACGTAACATTTCCTGTTGTCCCCCCTCCAGGAACAATACATTTTCTGCTACCAGGTCGTCTTGTATGTGCTCAGATGTCTCCAGGCAGAAGAGAAACTCTCAGGATAAAAACGTGGACCAGCACTGCCTTCCTTTTCTCCTCACAGAGTCGACAGATCAGCTGAAAATACCAGCGGTCTTCAGTCATCCAGATGTTTGCAAGCAGTTTCTTTGATTTCCGATCGGGAGCTTCGACCTTGTCCGAACAAATTATGTTCTTACAATGTTTTGGACGTCTGTGATGCATACAATTCTTGCAGAATTTTGTGTATTCGTATCGCTTACATTCTTGACCAATGGCTGCTACTTCTTTGAAAGCATTTATTTTATAACTTATCTTTTTTTATATAGATTCCTTAAAGATTATGGATCAAATAAAAAAGAAATGAATTCTTTTTTTTTTTTTCTTTTTTTTTTGTGGTACAAAATGATTCTTGTGTATTTTAAAATGAAATGATGCTGGAAATGTTGCCTTGACAGAATACAGGACAGTATTTGCTTTGTAAATCTTTTAGAAATCACTGAGTGCCAGTGATAATCGAAGAAATTAAAAGTGTTATATTTGGTGTGATATTTATCATATGAAATCTGTTGATATGTTTTAAAGCTGTTACTTACTGGACAATTTGCAATTTGTAAATAAAAGAATATCATGCCTTTAAGATATCCTTTAATGTGTTTTTGCAATTTCTGCTACTGTTTTTATGGCTTTCAGGCCATACTTATGATTTTTTTTTTCATGTTGTTTGGATGCATTCAGGTTTTACTAGGTTTGAGATAAGCATTCTCTAAATTCAGTTTTTGAAATTGCAATAAGTGCTTTATAAATAATGATTATATATATATATATATATATATATATATATATATATATGTGTGTGTGTGTGTGTGTGTGTTTTACACATTTGCTTTTTGATCAAATAGGCTATAGCTGTTTGTATCAGTAAAAATAGATTTGACTATTTCCCCGTTGCATTGCTGTTTGCTCATTTCTTATTTACAATATAATTATATAAAACATAGGCTATAGAAACTAAACTTACAATTTCTTTATGTAAACATGATCAGAGACAACCAATATTACAAATTAAAATGGATGTGGTATTTAAATCGATTTGGATTTCTCCGTAATATTAGAGAAATATAAAAATAAATGTTAGACATCTATAAATGTTTTCTGCGGGACCACCAATCTCCACTTGGGGCCGCTGCAGTCTACAGCGATATATCGGTAACTTGAAAAGATATGCTATTTTTGACGCTTTTCAGATCTTTCCGATTGTCCTTTTAGGCTTTCCGTAGCTCTTTGGCAACATGGCGGCCTCCTTATGAGCCACGCTGGTGAAGAAAAAATCTATACAGTCAAAACAAACGTTCCTTTCTGACGCGGATTATAAGAAGATAATCAAAAATGTCGGGCCGCAACAATAACAAATTACCGACGAACCTCCCACAGTTGCAAAATTTGATCAAGAGGGATCCGAAGTCCTACACGGAGGAGGTAAGACACTTGCTATTGGATTTGTCAACTGGTCTGGTCGCGAGATACCAAAATAATTATATGACATTGCGCTATGACAAGCTGTTCATGTAAACATAATAAGCGTTTAATTTTATGTAACTTCTATTAACGTAACTTTCATTTTCTTAAGTATGTAGAAGTTACTATTCTATTATTATTAACACATTGCTATGGGGATCTGTTGTCCAGATAGCAGCTATGATAATTGGTATTTATCTAGTAACTGTAATAGATGCTTGATCCAGAATAAATGTTCACATTTAGTTTTATCCACGGGGTGTAATGATGCCCTAATGTCACGATACGATATTTTTGTTATACTCCAAGACATATGATAAAAGGTTATAACTGGAATACTGTTAATAAAACGATACATTTGAGCTTTGGGTGTGTAAATTAATAGACTTGGACTTGGTGCTGGTAACCCAATGGACAGGACAATAGTCTCACCAGAATAAAATATTCATGATTCTGAAGCTGAAAATACAGAATGAATTTAGACGGATATGCTTGCGCACTTTCACTGACCAGATATATTTAAAATAAGGTATGCCACTTTTTACTTGTAATTTAAGACATTTGGCAATATCAGGACCCATAAGTATTCCCCCATTGCATTTGTATACATTTTATTGAACATTACATATGGTAGTTTAATGTAGTACTGACACTAAAACTTTGTAAGCTGGATTTTTTTTTTCTCTCACAGTAATTTTAATTGTAGGTGAACTATACACAATAAATATTGTCACTAGTATCCACGATACACGTTGCATTTTTGTATTGCGATATGTTGTGAAAATATGTTGTTTCACCTCTACCAAATGAGCTTAATTTGTTGTCATTCCAGTTTTTGCAGCAGTATCGTCATTATCAGTCAAATGTGGAGATCTTTAAACATCAGCCTGACAAATCCAACAAAGACCTGGCTGATTTGGTCATGTTCCTGGCTCAGGTATGGATGTGCTCTCCGTTTATTCTGCATTTCATCTCTTATGGATTAGACCGTTATTGACTGACTGTGGTTTGTGTCTCCAGGTTGGACACTGTTACTTAGAGGAGCTGTCAGACTTCCCACAGCAGCTGACTGATCTTCTCTTAAACCATCATACAGTGCTGGAGTCAGATCTCAGAATGGTACGAATTATGTTTGTTGACAGTTAGTATGTCGGTTAGTTTAAACTAACTCAACCTAACAGTCTTTATTTCAGTCTTTCTCCACGTCACTTTTACATTACAAATCCCTCAGTTCTCCAAAAAGCCAAGCTAAATGTTGTTTTCTTGTTTTATTTCGAGCTCTTTCGCAGGTTTTTTTTTTAGCGTTTTTAAAATGTGGGACTAGATTGGAGTCACTCATTGTAAGAGCAAACATATGCCACTCCCACACCATAAAAAAAGTAGCCTGAGCAAATTTTCTCTATTTTTTTAATATGACGAGATGAGCACGGGTGAATAACACATGTAGACAATTTCTCTAATAGAACGCTTACTATAGTGAATCAGGGTTAGTAAAAAAAAACACGTTTTGGAAGAAGGATTGATCTATCGACCCATTATTGAAATTTTGTTTATTTTATACAAAATAAAAGTTATATAGTGTACCTTTAACTTTTGAAGATCTGTTTTCTAAACAAATAACTTTTTGTAATTTCTTTCAGACATTTTGCAAAGCCCTCATCCTCTTGAGAAACAAAGATCTGGTCAGTCCCACCAGTCTTCTGGGACTGTTCTTTGAGCTGCTGCGCTGTCATGACAAACTTTTGCGAAAGGTCTGTGAATTTTTCAGTGCGATACTTTTTTCAGAATTATTGCAAATGCTTGAGTGTTGCATTGAATTATTGCAAAGCCTGCTGATAAAAAAATGTCCTCTGTCTCTTCAGACTCTATATACCCACATTGTGACTGATATCAAAAATATCAATGCCAAGCACAAAAACAACAAACTGAACACGGTAAGTTGCTTGTATTTGAGTTGGGGCTGGGCGATATGGCCTAAGAAATTTTTACAAAACATCTGATTTACGATTGAAATCGATCTTTTCCACCCCTACTTAAATCAATTTGCAGATAACAAAGAAATTGTTCAAAACAAGTTTTAACTTTATTTTGTTTTGATTTTCCCTTCTGGGATTTGATCTGGATTTTCTCCTTGGGGTTAAAGTGCTAAAGATGGCAGGGCCTGTCTTTGTAAACAGTGAAAATGTAACATACATGTACATTTTTGTGATTTAATTCTGATCTTAATTCAATATCGATTCCTTTGGATAAATATTAGTTACAGTAGATATATGTTAATTGTTCTCCAAAAAAATCTCTTACCTAATTCTGTAAACATACATAGACCTGTCAGCTGTTATTATTATTAAATATTAAAAATAACATCTCAAATAATTTTTTTTTTTTTAATAATATTTTAATGATATAGAGGAATGGCTTCTCGAACAAGAAAAATGTAGAGTGGGACTTTTTTTTCTCCATTGGGAATTGATTGATTGGGTGGTTGTGGTTTGCTATTGGTGGATCTCATTTGAGTGACAGGTTGCCCCGCCCTCACACCAGTAAACGCATCATCAGAGTAGAGAGATGCCGCTGCAAATAAGAGGGAAAGTTATTTTGATTAAGAATTAAGAGGTGACATGAATTAAAAAAAAAAAAAAAAAAATTGTATATAATTTATAAATACTGCATTGGTTCATAAAAAAATAGTCAAATTTGATTAGATTGCTTTCCTTAATTTACCTTCTAAATTGTTATCATGTACTTATTTCTGTACATTTTGATTTTGAGGTGAAATATGACACTGAATATGACTTCATGAGATTTCCTTCCCTCCGTTTTGAAATAAATACTCAGCACTTTTTCTTCTTGTTTCTTCTGCGCTCAGACCTTACAGAACTTCATGTACACCATGCTGAGGGATTCAAACCCCATTGCTGCCAAGATCTCTCTGGATGTGATGGTTGAGCTTTACAGAAGAAACATCTGGTGAGCCCTTGAACAGAAGCAACTGTGTAATATTATCTGTGATGCCGTATAATATGATCTGTAGTGATAACTGCTTTTCATTCCTACACCAACCAATCAGGAATGACACTAAAACCGTGAACGTCATCACCACAGCGTGTTTCTCCAAAGTCACAAAGGTTCGAATTTTTGCCTTTTCTCTCTCATTTAAAATGTATGAATTTCCAGTATTCCAGAATTTCCCAAAACATTTAGCGACATATTAGTTATGGTCATTTTTATTATTTGTTATACACTTTGTTTTAACAATTCCTGTCTCCTCTCAGATCCTTGTAGCTGGATTGAAGTTCTTTCTGGGAAAAGATGAAGATGAAAAGAGAGACAGTGATTCAGAATCTGAGGTAAAATTAGTGCAGATTTGTCTTCCGCTTGCTGCTTTTATGTACACTATCATGCAAAAGTTTGGGGTCATTCAATTATTATTATTATTATTTAAGAAATTAATACTTTTATTAAGCAAAGAGGTATTAACTTTGTCAAAAACAACAGTGAAGACAGTTATAATGTTACACAAGATTTCTATTTCAAATAAATGCTGTTGTATTGAACTTGAATAGAACATTGAACACTGAAATTGTTTCTTGTTTACCAAATCAGCATATTAGAATGATTTCTGAAGGATCATGTGACACTGAAGACTGGAGAGTTATGAGGCTGAAAATTCAGCTTTGCATCACAGAAATAAATTCAATTTTTGTCAATTTTAAATTGTAGTAATATTTCAAAAAAATATTTTTGTTCAAATAATTGCAGCTTTGATGAGCATTGGACACGTCCTTCCAAAAACATCTTAACGACCCCAAACTTTTGAACGGTAGTGTACTTTAAATATTAAAAATAATTATTAAATCTATTTTTCCTCTGCAGGATGATGGGCCAACGACCAGAGATCTAATGATCCGATATTCCACCGGAAAGAAAACGTCCAAAAATAAGAGAAAAATGGAGAAAGCAATGAAAGTCCTCAAGGTTAAATGAATTGTTTCAAAATTAGCAAGTCTATGTTTTTATGTTAATGTCACTGCTAATTTTTTTCATTTTCATTTTGTTTCCTCAGAAACATAAAAAGAAGAAGAAAGTGGAGGTTTTTAATTTCTCTGCCATCCATTTGATCCACGATCCACAAGGTCAGACCACCTTTGCGCACTTACGTAGAATACAACATGCATGTAGTGTAGTGGTTAAAGATCTGGTACCTGGAAGTTGCAGGTTCAGACCCACAAGAACTGATCCATGTTGTGAATCACTCACTATAAAAGCATGTACTGTAGATTAATAATTATATCTGTGTTGTTCAGATTTCGCAGAGAAGCTCCTGAAGCAGCTGGAGAGCTCAAACGAACGCTTCGAGGTGAAGATCATGATGATGGAGCTCATCTCTAGACTCGTGGGAATTCATGAGGTAATGTATAAGTGAGCATTTATTGTTCATTATTTTCTCATCAACTTTATCTAACCTGTTTTGTTTCCATCTTTACAGCTTTTCCTTTTTAATTTCTATCCGTTTGTCCAGCGGTTCCTTCAGCCTCACCAGAGAGGTAAAACACTGCTGTCTTTATAGAATACTTACACAAATAATGTGTAATCCACTTCAGTATTTTTAGGGTGTGTTCACACTTGTAGTTCGGTTCATTTGGTCAAGTCCAAAAAGAAAAGAATACATTTAGTCCTGTTTCGCTTAGCACACTGTCGTTTTAAAGACACGTATTTATGCGCTAGTTGTATGTGTGCATATATGATGGTATTTTGACTAGCTGAGAACTTGTGAAGAATTAATAAAATGTGTAAAGGAGTCAATACAGCGGCAGAAATTCCACCGTTCCACACAAATGAACATCTGCTGCTTGAACATGGCGGTTCTGATGCCTGTACCAAACTGTAAAGGGCAACATAGATCCAATGACTAGAAAAAAACAGTTATGTTTTTAGGTTTTTCTGTCCTTTTTAGGTTGATTTTGGTTCATTTAGATGTCTTTGGTCCGTGTTGCATTCATATTTCAGTCGAACCGCACCAGAGACCACCTTTTCAGTCCACTTGTTTGGTGTGCACCAGGGTTAGTTAGTATGGCAGCGTTCACACTTATTCTACAGAGCAATCACTCCAGAGTTCGTTTTAATACAACCCAAACTGCCAAGTGTGCACACATCATTAATGTCTCTTATCTAATACTCGTGTCTTCAGAGGTCATGTTTATGTCCTCCTCATGTTAATTTGTTGTTTTTGTTTCAGAGGTGACCAAAATTCTGTTGTGTGCCGCCCAGGCCTCCCATCAGCTGGTCCCTCCTGAGGTAAGAACTCATCATGAGGCCTTTATATATCATTAAACGAAGGTCAGGGAAGCGATATTTGAGAAACGCTGTTCGAAAGTTGGTTCGTTCATCTTCGCTTTATTTTTCGTGAACTATTATTTTGTTGTGGACATAGACATCCACTCTTGCGTTGTGTGTGTAACAGAGGCCAGTTAGTGAGAGTTGTGCAGGCTGATGTCTAGAGAATGCTGTGTTTACTGTTTAGCACCCTTGTTAGTGCACATGCCTCGCACATCAGCGATCGGGGTTCGTCAGACTTTTTTTTATAGAAATGTATACTTTCATTTAGAAGGGATGTATTAAATTGATTAAAAGTGACAGCAAAGATATTTGTTACAAAATATTTCTGTTTCAAACAAATGCTGTTCTTTTCAAGTTTTATTAAAAAATCCTGAAAAATAATTATACACAAAAATATGGAGTAGCACAACGGTTTTCCAAATTGTTGAGCATATTAGAATGATTTCTGAAGAATCATGTGATGGAGTAATAATGTTCAAAATTCAGCTTTGCATTCACAGGAATAATTTACATTTTAAAATCAACTAAAATACAAAATACTTATTTAACCAATCCTGAACTTTTAGTGTGCTAACTAATTCATTACTTTTATATCTACAGATCATTGAGCCAGTCATCATGACCATCGCCAATAACTTTGTTACGGACAGGAATTCAGGGGAGGTCATGACAGTTGGGTAGGTGCTGTGTAAAGCTCAATAAAATACACACTGAAATGCTGTTATTTTGTCCCTCATTTGCATGAATGTCTCTCTTGTTCATCCTCATATCTCAGAATCAACGCTATAAAAGAACTGGTAGCCCGCTGTCCTCTCTCAATGTCAGAAGACCTGCTTCAAGATCTCACACAGTACAAATCCCACAAAGATAAAAGTGTGGTTTGTCATTATTTATCAGCCTGTTCCTCAGATGGTTCATAATTTGAATGAAATGTTAACAGAATAGACTGTTTGACTTTTTTTTTTGTTTATCTTTCAGATGTTGGGATGTCTGCCAGAGGTCTTATCCAGCTTTTCAGAGATCTCAATCCACAGATGCTTCACAGAAAAGACAGGGTGAGAAGCTTAAAATATTAAAATAAATAATAAAAAAAAAAAAAATCTCTGAATTGGACATTCTAGAGATCAAGGATTCCCAAGTTTTTTTGCCAGTCAAACCTTTTTGACTTAAATATTTACTTGTGCCCTGTGAGATTTTAAATGAATATTTCAATAAACAAACAGCACATTTGCATGTTCATGGTTCCCTGCCATCTGTTAATGGTCATATGAAATGCAGATAAACAGATAAAATGTAATATTTTAACTAATAAATCATTTTAAGATAAACAATGAAAATAAAACATGACATTTTTATTATTTAATTAATTGTTAGCTGGAAATCCTGTTCTAGATGTACACTACCAATCAAACGTTTTGGATCAGTTTTTTTAGTGAAAGAAAAGAAGAAATAAATACTTTTATCCATCAAGAATACATTAAATTGATCAAATGTGACAGTAATTGTTATGAAATCAATGCTGTTCTTGCTGTAATTTATATTCATTAAAGAATCCTGTAAATAAGTATGACAGTTTACAAAAAATCATTAAGCAGCACAGCTGTTTTCAGCATTGATAATAATTAGAAATTATTCAGATCAGCATAGAATGTTTTCAGAAAAATCATGTGACACTAAAGACTGGTGTAATGATGCTAAATTTTCTGCTTTGCATCACAGGAAAAAAAAAATACATTTTATAATAGAAACCATAAACGGTTAATTTAAATTGTAATATTTCACATTATTTATATTTTTCTTATTGTATTTTTGATCAAGTAATTGCAGATTTAGTGAGCATAAAAGACTTCTTTCAAAAACATTACAAAATCTTATTGACCCCAGACTTTTGAATGATAATGTACATCATTGTTTTTGCATTTATTATTGTTATCAGGGAAAGCCCACAGAATCCTCTAAGGAGGCCAAAATCCACAGCTATGGAGAATTGGAGGCCAAAGACTACATCCCTGGTGCTGAGATTCTGGAACCAGAGGAGAACGTAAATGAAGAGGAAGATGAAGGTATGTCAAAAGCTGTATTAGCATTTGCTTATTATTTCATTGAGTAATATATGTGTGTAAAACATTTATTCTAATGTAATGCTTTAACTTCCAAGATGGCTGGGAGAGCGCCAGCATGAGTGAGGATGGTGAAGATGGTGAGTGGGTGAACGTGCATCACTCCTCTGATGAAGATCAGGCAGAAGTGGTGAGGATCATTCCACTTTCCTACACTTGATTCAAATGATGGAAAATTCTGCATCTGAACTTGTTGTTTGTATATGTCAGGCTGAGAAGCTACAGAGTATCCCAGAGTATGAGCGCAAAGCCAAAGCTGCTGTGGTCAGCACGAGTCGTCTTCTCACGCAAGACGACTTCAAAAAGATCCGCATCGCTCAGATGGCCAAAGAGGTTCGCTCTGCACCCGGGAAGGGTCAGAAGAGGAAGAACGTAGAGAGTGATGAGGAAGAGCAGAGGTAGGAGAATAGTTTGGGCTGGATGTTTCTTTACTGAAACGATTTTATTTTTTGGTATAAACTGATAATAATCCGTCTATTCATATATATATATATATATATATATATATATATATATGTATGTGTGTGTATGTAAATGTATATGTGTGTGTGTTTGTGTATATATATTTATTTATGTATTTTTATTTATTTATTTATTTATTTTTCTCAGAGGAGAGTTGCTTAGCCTGAGAGACATTGAGCATCTTCATAAAAAACCTAAATCTGACAAAGAAACACGACTGGCAACAGCCATGGTGAGTATAAAAAATAAAAAAAAAAACTAATGGATCCTTTCTGAATTAATTTATAAATACAATTGCTTTATCTTAATGATAATGTGACACTGAAGACCTGAGTAATGATGTTGAATGTTAAATAAAAAAACTATTCTTACTGTATTTTTGATCAAATAAATGCTGACTTTGTGAGCATAAGAGACAAATTTTAAAAATATGACTGAGCCCAAACTCTTGAATGGTAATGTTTATGTATATGTATTTTTTTCCCTGTCAATATCAGATTTTAATTTTATTTATTTATTTATTTATTTTTACTTAAAATCCAATTTAAAAAAAATTATGTTGAAGGAAAGAAAACACATTAATTGCCATTTTGTCAGCTACCCAAAGCAAAAAAAAAAAAAAAAAAAACAAGGTTTAAAGTTACACTTGCTTGACATTTTTCTATCAGGCTGGGCGGACTGATAGGAAGGAGTTTGTTAAAAAGAGGAGTAAGCTAAACCCATTCGCCAGCACCAGTAACAAGGAGAAGAAACGAAAAAAGAACTTCATAATGATGAAACACAGTCAAGATGTGAGGACCAAAGGCAAACGCTCCTTTAGAGACAAACAGGTGAGCCTGCAGATCTTTAATAACTTAATATGCAATAAACCTGTATGCACTATCCCATTCAAGTTCAGTTTGTGATATTTCCTATTAATAGTGATCTTCCCCACTCATTTGTCCCTCAGATCGCCCTCAGAGATGCACTCTTAAAGAAGAGAAAGCGCAAGTAATTCCCACCTGTAATGAACTAGAGCTGACTGGTTCGTCTCATGATATGATCTGTATGGAAGACAGTATATACGACTTGGCTGTGTGGATTTCCATGTTGTCTTTTAATAAATCGTTTAAACAGTTGAAATCTGTTACTTTTTGTATTTGACCTACAAATAGGCCTTTGGACAAACTGCACCCAAAATAGTTTAACTAAATTAGTAAACAATGAATGATAGTTCTGCAGCATTTGGTTTAACACACTGATGTTCAGACATTGTTAGATTATAATTCTTATTTTTAGGCCTATGGAAAGAGTCATGAACATCTAAGCCAATCTATGTTCACAAAACTACCTCAGCTTTACTTTCTGTAGTACTTGAGCTTTTATAGATGGTCCAGGGGTGGTGTAGCAACAGTCCAATTAGAATATTACATCATATAGAATGCAAGACAGAGAGAAAAACAAGTCCATAGGAGAAATATGTGGTAGTTTATGTTCTGGACAAATACAGAACTACTATCTGAGCTGGTTTCCTAGAAACACACACACATACTGTACATGAAAAGGAAATAAAAGCGTCTTCCCATTTTCCCCTCGTAGCCTACTCCACAGTCAGCAAATCACTGAGCTTCCCAACCTATCCCGCTGGGTCGCACGAACCATCAGGCTCAGCTATGCGATTCCGTTCGTACGGTCTCCTCCCCGCTTCTGGGGAGTCCGCTCTTCTATGGTCGGTGGCTATGCCCCTATGAGAGTAGATATTGCTACCCTACTGGCAAAGGGTATGATCGAGACTGTCCCTCCAGCCGAAATGAGGAAGACACACGAGGACGGGACTTGGGTGAAACAGTCCGGGGTTTCGTGGTGACAGGGGGAACAGTCCGGGGATGAGGCATGACAGAGGAGACAGGAGAAACAAACGGATGACCGGAGACAGCGGGGACTGCAGCAGCAGATAGTGGAATGGAGACAAGGGGATTATCAGGTGGTAAGGGGGCTGGGACAGGAACAGAGCTCACAGAGGTACAGCCAGAATCAACGCTCCACAACTGAGTCGGTGACTGCCATAGGCTCTGAAACTGCACCCCTCTCGGCAGCAGGTTCGGGTGCAGGGCTCTCGGCGGCAGGCTCGGGGACTGAGGACAAGACCGGACGGACAGGGACTTCGAGGATTCTTGCTAGACATGACAAATAATCAGACAGGGTCCTGGCAGCAATGATGACAGGCATTTCATGACGAAACAAACTGCAAAACTTCATCAGCCGCTCGATCGGCCGTGGCTCTCACGGCAGGGATCACTGCATCAGATCTTGCCCTCTCAAGTGCAGGCTCAGCAATCACGCTTCCAGCAGCAGATACAGGACAAGCATTCACAGATGCCACCTCAGGAACAGCGGTCGTGGCTGCAGATTCAGGAACAGTGCTTACAGTTGCAGCCTCAGGAACAGTGGTTATGACTGCAGATTCAGGAACAGCGCTTACAATCGCAGCTTCAGACTCAGGAGAAGATGGCGATTGGAAACAGGAAGCTCCCCTCTTTCTCTTTGGCCGCGGGGCAATGGTCACAACAGGGCTCGCGATCGGCTGGCCGGGCTCAACGGAAGATGAAACGGGGACAGGGAAGATCACTTCTGGTTGGGTGTGCACAGATGATGATGAGTCCGAGCAGGAATCCCAAGAAATCCATCTCCCTCGTTTACCACGGAGGTCTGCGAGGTGTGGAAGACGCCTCTTAAGTCGAAATGAGGGGAGCCTGGTTCTCTTGCGTGACCACCGCTAATATACGACCCTCAGGATTCACTGGCAGCGTGCGGGGTGAAGACGACATGGTGGGAGCCTGTGAATCCTCCTCGACAAGCAGGCCACCATATCCAGGAATGGGCGGCGAACCAGACTTTCCCGTTCAGCCAGAGGAGGCAGAACATTTAGACCCGCGCTGAGGTAGCGATTAACAGAATCTCAGGCAAGAAGAACCTCCTCTCCTCCACCACCCAGGCATACTGTCTCGAGGTCCGCTCACCCTGGGAAGGAAACTGAAGCTTTCCATTCCTGGAATCAGAAATCGCCTCCTGCCACCAACGTACAAGATCATCAGGCATACTGTCTGCTGTGTTCAGTTGTGGTTGGTTCATTCTGTTATGTGGATGCAGCCTGCAGGTGATGAACCCAAATGCAGGCAGAATGCGATGAACTGCGTTTATTGGTGACAAACAGGAAAACAAAACCCACGAGGGGGCAAAACAGACAAAACAGTCGGGAGATAACTAAACTAGAAAACACTTGACAAGACTATAAACTATATCAAAAATACAAAATCAAGACGTTCTTCAAAGACAAGGTATGCACAGGTAGATACAGTACTCACAAGAGAAACACAATGAACCAACACAGGACAGCAAACACAAGGGGATTATAAAGGGAGAAACTAATGAGGGGAACAGGTGACACAAACTAGGTAATAATGACAGGATGAGGATAACAAGGGGGCGGGGTATTAAACGAGACAACACAAGCGCATGGCCCAAACAACAGGCCAAGCACATGGCTTGCACACAAAACATGGTTCTGCCATGATCCTGTCACAAGACTAGAAAAATGAATGACATGATGGCAGAATCATGACAATTTCCTTAACATGGGTCATTTTTGTTTAACATTATCAGCAATTTGCATGTTTTATCAAATAAAAGCAATGAATCTATGACACTCATGTTTCAAATTTCAAAGACAGGTGTTGCCATAGACACTGCAGTGAGTTTGTTTTCTATTGTCCATCAAATGAATAACAACAGTGAAATTATATTTAACTATATTTTTTCAAGATGAATAAGCAAATTTATTTCTATATAATTGTACATTATAACAAATCAAAAAGACATTTTCTATGTTTAGCACTTCTTGAGTGTCATATTTTCCATTGCATTTACATGTGTAAAAATAATTCTGGCAATTTGTTGAAGAGCAAATCAAAATAAAAGGACAATGCTGCAAACACAACCTGCCAAAATAGAAGTTTTATGTATGTAGCTCATTTGCGTGGCTCAGGGTCGCTTTACGTACATTGTACATTACAAAACATTTGCATACCCACACACAAAGTGACTGTGAAAATGCTTTATTTTTTTTTTCTCCATTGATAAGCAAAATGACATTTTTGATTTCTTGCAAAAATGACATTTTTATTTAAAAATAGAACTGTTATTTAAAATGTAATTAAATTTGTTGCAATTAACAGTGAACCCGCCTACAAGGAAGTAAACGTTTCTCAATGAAGAGAGGCCAGACTCTATGTACAAATGAAATGTACTAGAGTCTGGTTGAACCAGGCTAATGACACTTAGACCTGAGTGCAAAAATGGAGGCTCTAGACCCTTCCAGAGCTGAGATATTGAGATCCCACGTAGCATTTATGCCATTACAAATATCTCAATATCTCAGGTCTGGAAGGGTCTAGAGCCTCCATTTTTGCACTCAGAAGATTGGAGAAACTCATTTTTTCGCACAAAAAAAAAAACCCGAAAGGGGTACCACTGTCGTTTTTTTTTCGGGTCGAAATTTTGAGTTGCTCTGATCTTCTTGAAACTCTGGATTCTGATAGAGGGCCATGAGACTTAGATCTGAGTGCAAAAATGAAGGCTCTAGACCCTTCCAGAGCTGAGATATTGAGATCCCACGTAGCATTTATGCCATTATAAATATCTCAACGTCTCAACTCGGGTCTAGAGCCTCCATTTCTGCACTCAGGTCTAAGTCCCATGGCCCTCTATCAAAATCC